CGGGGCCTCCTCTGGTCTTGGTCCAAGAAGTCCGTGTCTTTCTTATCCTGAGGACTCCAGAGCTGGAGATGCAGAACCAACACTTCTGGCAGCAGTAGAGTTTTATCCCATAAGGTGAACAGATCCTTCTTGGAATGTGTGTCCCATGAACACACCCCTCCCACTGTGCTCCGTGTCCTCTGCTGGAGCTGAGCCTTGGTGGATTCCATGTCATGTGTCCCATGTTCCTCAGCCCCAGCTCATCCCTGGACATCAACCCTCAGGCCCATGAGGTGGTTCCTGAATTCCTGAATTCAGGTTCTCTGGAACTGCTGCTCTTTCAGTCGGGAGGGTTTTTCAAACATATCTCTCTCTGCTTGTTTCATGTCTTCACATCAAAACCCATCAAGGTTCAGAGATTCCCGTCCTTGTATCCCAAATTATCCAAAGCCAGAGCAGAGCATCCCTTAATCTGGGCCAACCTGATGTTGGTGGCGTCACAGTTGAACATTTCCATGAAAAACTTGGCTTCCGTGGGTTAAATTTATGTCAGGAATTGTTGAACCCAAAAGTTCTTGCAGAGCAGAGAGAGTTTGGCTGTTTACAGAGGCTGACAGGTCTCCCCCTGCTCCCAGCTCCGGGAACGTGCCCGGTGCGAGATTCAGGAACGAGATTTGGGAAGCTGATGTTTGGTGGNTAAATTTATGTCAGGAATTGTTGAACCCAAAAGTTCTTGCAGAGCAGAGAGAGTTTGGCTGTTTACAGAGGCTGACAGGTCTCCCCCTGCTCCCAACTCCGGGAACGTGCCCGGTGCGAGATTCAGGAACGAGATTTGGGAAGCTGATGTTTGGTGGACTGGGAAATTTTTTGGACAAGATGAATAAATCCTTTGTTCTTGCAAATGAAAAGGCATTAAAAAAAAACACCATAAAAAAGATTAGGGGAGATGTCAGGGGCGAAATCAGTCCCATTGTGGGGGTGGTCCAAGGTCTCGGGTCATGGTCAGGTCTCAAAAATCAAGGATTTATTTATGTTTTTTGAACACTGGTGCTGCAGCTTTGGCTCAGAAAATCAAGTCATTGCTGAAGGGGATATGCTAAGTCTGAATTTTTAAGTGTGTCCAAATATTGGAATATTAGTTAAAGATCGAAATCTGTAAATATTAGACACGTGAAATTGTGCAGTGTGTTAGACCAGCCAGAGAGAGAATTCCCTGGAATCACAGACTGGTTGATAGACTTGGCTATTTTGGAAAGATTTTGAATAATAGGAATGTTTTTGTAGGGCTGTGGTGTGTGTGTGTGTGTAAGACATGATCTGTTTTTTTCCTTAAAAAAACATATATATTTATGTCATAATTATATTGTTCCTTACCCTACACTTATATTTATACACCCTGCTTCAAATCCCAGCACATTTTTTTTGGTGGGGGGGCTTGGCTTTATTTCCCACAAACTTTCCTGTGGTCCCAGGTTGACCTTCCACGTCCCCGTCACGCCGTTCCTCGATTAGGGATTTGAAATTAGGAACGTGGAAATTATCGGGAATTTTTCCAGCCGTTAATGGCTCGGAACTGGGAGCTCTGCAGAGACAGCCCGGCAGATTTTTTTATTTTTTTTTTTGGGAGCGTGTGTGGGCTTAAGAAGTTTTCACAGAAGATCAGAAGCTGTGCAAACTCTGCAGTTGCTTTGAAAGAATTTCTCGGGGGGCAGGAGGAGGGGAGGGAACTCCAGCTTTTTTGGCAATAAACCTTTATCGGGAATATTTCTCCGTGGATCGGGTTCAGCTCGGCGTCCCGAATCCAAGCTGTTTGATCCCGAGTCGGAATTCGCTGGAAAGCTGGGCCTGCTTTGATGGTGAAGGGATGACAGATTCCTCTGGAGGACGGAACGGGGAGGGCCTGCTGGTGCTTCCCTGTCTGCTCCAGTGATCTCCAGGAGTTTTGCAGTCAGGGATTTGGGAGCCAGAAGCGTTTTTTAAGTGTTTTAACAACTGCAGGCCGATCGCTCTCGACGCCGGCGAGGCAAAACTGTGTCCTGAGGAGGCCACAAACCAGCTGAAATGGGGGTTTGGGAGCTGGTTCGGGAGTTTGGAAGGCCTGGGAGGCTCCAAATGGAAAATCAAGGGCCTGGAAGGCGGGATAAAACCGGCATAGATGGGATAAAAGTGCTGCCTCGTGTTTGCAGTTGTCAAATAAAGGGTTATAAAAGGTGAAAGGGATGTTGGTGAGGGCAGT